CTTCGAAATTCCAGCTTATGAGAAAAATCGAATTTTCGAAGTAAAATCAGTGGTCGGTTCTTACGGAGACAGCCTCAATACATACAGTGGGGGCATTACTTTTTCATTCCATTTTGCAAACTGGAAAAGTAGTGGAAGAGTTATTAGAGTTCAATTATAAATACTAACATTAGCATAAAACGGACAAATTTATCGACTCGTGGGTGTTCTGATCTATGAACTGTTTTCCTATCTGTCATGCAGCAGGAAAGGAATGCCTCTGTTATATATGGGAGGAGACTTTTTTCAAGGGGGGTAGCCTTAATATCATCATTATGTGAGGGGGGGTTGAAATTAATTTTTGCTTAATGAGAGGGGGGGGAATGACTAAGTTTTGGGGCATATTTCACCCATTTCCCAACCCCCCCCCCCTTTCCAGGTAATTATTTAATTAGGTGATATGTGGTGCTAACAAGCCGAGAACCATATGAAATATATATAAGATCGCATTTACTATGAGTATTCACCTTTGTGAATGAGTTTCTCACGTAATTTACGCGAAATAGACAAGATTCGAGTTTAACACTAGTACTGCTGAATAAAAAGACTCAAGAGGGAATGTCCACTAACGAAGAGCCAGTCGTCGCACATGAAAAACAAAAAAAAACAAANTTCTTCCACGCGAGCAATTTCAGGCGAGTCGGACTCAATCATGTTTCTAACAGCGTCAAAATCCCTTTTCATCCAGCCTCTCAACCCAGTGCGTGCTCTCTTCAGCTGATCAATTTGTTTCGTCTTCATTTCGATCGGTGTTGGCGACAAACGAAAGCAAACAACACTCGAGGCTAGCGATCAAACACGTCGCGGGTCACCTTTGTGAATGAGTTTCTCACGTAATTTACGCGAAATAGACAAGATTCGAGTTTAACACTAGTTCTGCTGAATAAAAAGACTCAAGAGGGAATGTCCACTAACGAAGAGCCAGTCGTCGCACATGAAAAAAACAAAAAAACAAAAAAACAAAAAAAACAAAGTTTTCATATTCCTCTCAGAGATAGCGTATGGTAAGCCTAGAAACGTGCCGGGATTTTTTTCTTTAATTATTTTTCTAAACCCGCCAAACAAAATCCCAAATTCGTTACGGTCCCAGGTCTGGTCAAAAACACGCAAAATTTAGTGACTAATACCTTATCATAAACTTCACTCTGTTTAATCGGCATCACAACAACACTCCAGTTTGAGCCTGGAAACGTATTGTTCAGGGGTTTACAAGTCTTCTAAGGCTGAGTATACTTCTGTGGGTTAATTATCAAGGTCACGACGAGCCGCCTAAAATCACTAAAATTCGCTTCCTCAAAATTCTTAATTATGCACACATTTTCAATCGGCAAATTCGCTACCC